AATGAAAAAAGTTTAAATGATAAAGATAATAAGCATATAACTTATATACTTTAATAAAAAAAATTACATAATTATTATTATTTTTTTTTTTTTTTTTTTTTTTACATAGTAAGAAAGTAAAAAATTGGCGTTTTAAATCGTTAAAAGGAATTAAATGAATGAAAAAAAATAATGCAAAAATACTTTTTATTTTTTACATTTATTTTTTTTATTTATTTATTTATTTTTAGTACGTGAAAAAAGAATGGGATAGAACTTTATTAATTAAACGTAATGGGGTTCGTGTGTCAATTGGCATTTACTATGTAAATAAAAAAAATTCGCTCACACACTTGATAAAATTCGGCAAATATTAAAAAAAGATCGCTGATCTAAAAAATAAAAAATAAAAATTTAAGAAAGCGAATAAAATAAATCAATAAGGCATAAATTCTCTGTACAATTCGTTGAAACGGAATAGTTAAAGGTTTTTTTTTCTATGTAAATACGTTACACGAAAATAGGGTTGAAATGACATTAAGATTCGATTTTTTCAAAAGAAATTACGTTATTACTCGATTATATATATGTTATTAAGCATGCGCTGAAGCTGCAAAGTCCCATTCAGAAGTATTATTAGCGACATCGTCCATATAATGGAATGAATGAACATGAGGCAGCGAAGGCATATGAAAAGTTGACGAATGGTTTGTAGTAGTTGAATATGGTGTAGATAATGTTCTAAGAGGACGCATTGACGGTCTACCAAGAAGATTTGACGAATAATGAGATTCCATCATTGAGGGAATGGCCTGATTTTGTTGGTTTGAAGAATGCATATGATAATTGTGATGACCATGAACGATTGTGTTCAAAGAAGATCGATGACTATGATGATCACTAGGATAAAATCTATGAAGAGAATGAAAATGCGGTCTTGGAGAACTATCAATATGTGACATTGGTATAGCACTTTGCATATTCATAGTTCTTCGACGAGAATGACGTGCGACGGGTCCTTTTTGTGGAGTAGGTGGTTTCGGGAACTTTTGGTTGTAAATCCTACTTGCTTCTCTCGCGATTTCTTCATAATGTTCAACAACGTGCTCAGGTTCTTCCCTCCAAGAACTAGCCACTGCAGAAGAAACGCTTCTCATGGGCAACCGATGATCTCTAGCATGAAGCTCTTTAACGTATTGCATTCTATAAATCATGAATGCATTCGGTGGTTTCGTAGGGATCTTGGACTTTACTTTCCTTGGTCTTGTAATTAATTCTTCAGGATTGACCATGGGTGGAAAAGGTACTTTAATGACTGGTACTGGAGGAGAAGGTCTATTGCTTCGTTGATTTGGGGAAGCAATAGAGGATGATTCATCAATAATAACCCATTGATGTTGATTATGATACGCTTGAGAAGACTGTTGGGATAAATGTAATTGTTCCGATTCAATTACAGAATTTGGTCCGGGATATTGGTGAGACATTTTCTCAAAGTATTTTTTTTTTCTTTTTCCTTCTTTTTTTATTTTTTATATTATTTTTAAAGAAAAGTCAAATTTAAAAATAAGGATAAACTTCTTTGTCTACTCGTTAATATAGTAAAAAGCGGAAGTTCGAAAAAAAAAAAAATTTTTTTAAACTCAAAAAGTTGGCAGTTGGCGCTTTTAAGACGAATTGGAATGCATTGTTTATACAAAAAAAATTGTATTATAGAAGCAGAGAATTTATCGTTATTTGATGTTTATTCAAGTATAAACTAAGACAAAATTGCATAAAAATGGAAAAATCGATGGACGAAAAGATTTTGTGTATATCGATTTACTGTGTTTTTGAACGTCGATTGAATGCAGAAGTACACATGGACGGAGGATTTTATCATTAAAAATATAATAGATAATGGATCTTTTTAAAATAAGGGATTTTTTTTTCAATTTAAAAGAATGAGTTAATCACACATTATTACATTATAAAACACAGACTAAAATTTATATTAAGGTGCACAGACTTATATGCTCAATCATTTTTTACGTGATTCGTATCTGTATGTTATTGTAAAATTGAACTAAATTCTCATTGCATCGGAGTGTGTTTTAATATATACAAGATATATTTCATTTTATTGAACTCATTTTTATTAATACTTGTCAATATATATATGAAATCACCAATTTCTACTATATAACAAACAAACAATTACAAAAAAAAAAAAAAAGATCGTCCAATATAAACAAAAATGTCTATTTAACTTATTTTAATATGTTAACTAAAAGCCGAGTCTTTATGGTCATTCTAGTTCAAAAAAGTCAAAACTATATTTACGCCGTTATAAATATTCAAAGGTACCACTTTTAATGAATCCGAATCTAGGAATCAATATATTTTTAACATCGTATGTTGTTAACGAATCATATACTTTGTGTATCTTTGCACCAAGTGGTGCAATTTTTTTTCCCTACGTAATCGGCTCTAAATAAACTGTATACCAAGTACATGATATATGATAAAGTTGTTTTGTAATTTAAAATTTTAATTTAGTGTTACATCTTATGCGAAAATAATTCGTCTCAGTATCAAAGTTCCCGTTCTCTTAGTCATCACATTTCACAAAATTAGCTTTTTTTTTAAAAAATACTACGTATGCATATTCTAATTTACCACTCTTTTTGTTAAAAGTTTTTTTTATAAATTCATATTTTAAATATTCATATATACTGTACTGTACATACAGCATAATTTGACATATAATTTGACGTGTAAATTCATACTATATAGTATGCTAAGATTTATTTCTATATAACTAAATTACAATTGCAATCCTTTTGATTGGCAATTTATTAACATACAATATAGTGTTTATAATATATTAATAATATATTAATTAATAATAAATAAACTAAAATTTGTTATGTTTCTATATCTAACTAATTATACTACCTTAAATCAGTTATTTTACGATATTAAACTCATGGGTTAGTTGAGATATTGCGTATGATACGGGGTGTTTAATAGTGATGACGATAAATACGTGTAATTAATATTAATTATCCGTTTATTTAATCGTAAAAACCAAATAAGGCGACCTTCTAAAATACTACAGAAATTTAATCGTACCCCTAATTCCAACTTCTAAGCCGTACATTAATCCCAATCTATACTCTAATTTTAACATGAATATATGCAATTAAAAAGATAATACTTTGTTTAGTAAATTGAAAATATTACTAAAGTAAAAAATTATTTTATATACTGTAATAAATAGTATATTAACTATTTGTTTTATTTATTTATTTTAATATTAAGATAGTTTTTTTGGCTAATAGAATTTTATTACTTTAATTTATAAAGCTATAACAAAAGTAATTATTATTATTTTTTAATTACATAATAATTATATAACTAGCTAAATATATATTTTTAGTTATTTTTTAATTTAAATAAGCTATTTGCAAATATTAAACTTTTTTATTTTTTTAAAACTACTTTCTTGACTAATTGAATTTTATTTTTTATTTTTAAAAATAGCTTATCTTGCTAAAAGTATTTTATTAATTTGAATACAGAGTTACAATATAAATAATTTCTGCTGTTAAGGTTATATAAAAAGTGTATAACTAGTTACATATATAACTTTAGTTATTGTATATTTAAATAGTCTATACACAAATGTTAAACTACTTGAATAGTTTTATACAAACTACTATATCTATAATTCACTTGTAAGTTATCTATTTAAGGGTAGGAGTACATAGATTATTTTTATATAGTTTTATATAGTTTTTTGAAATTTTTAAATAAAATTGATATATACAACTAATAAAACTTTTTAAATTATAACTAATTTTTAATAAAATTTTTATAAAATATAAATAAAATAATTTATCTATTATAGTAAAATTTTAAACTATTATT